TCAATGGAATGTCCAGTTAAAGTCATTGATCACCAATATGTCAAAGATTTTCTTGTATTTTCTTGTGTTGTTAATATGACTTTTTATACACCATATATATATATATATATATATATATATATATATTTTTTTTTTTATATCTGCCAACTGGCTATTCTCTTTAGCCATTCCCTGTTCCTCACTAAATAATAAATATGTATTCTGTATTCTACAGACCTTAAACACATTCTAACTGTACATATATTTCATCATAAAACGAGAGGTGAGTACGTCTGTGCGCATGCTTGAGGGAGACAGCAGTACTCTAGAGACACACTATAGAGACGCGCTCACACATGCATACTGTACAGTTTGCATGCAATTCAGCACATGGAAACATACATGTGCAAACACTGAGTAAACATCAAAAAGATGCCTTACTATTGAGGCATCTGTGTGCAGTGAAATCTGCTCAGCAAACACAAACATTTCACAGCAGTGACATCCCCTAAGCAGAATACTAATGGTTTCTCCATACACCATTTTGGGTTGGTAGATGTTTTACAGCAAAGCTCTGAATTTCACTAACTGGAGCAATACGGAAGGGGTTAAAAAAAAAGACAAAGATTTACAACTAGACTGGCATCACATTTGCTCCCAGGGTTACAGTGCACTCTGCTCAGGTAGGTTTGATTTAGACTCGATGAGAGTATTTGAAACAGAGAGGCTCGATCTATCCTGAAAGTCATCCCGCGGGAATCAGTGAAGTTTCCTTAGGCCAGAACGTCTGAACAAAAAAATCTACCTTCATACTGCCACGCAATAAACATTACATTTTTAGCCAGTGAGACGTGACTGGGGTTATGTTGTTGAAGAGAAATAAAGAGAGGACAGTCAAAATGTTGTTTTTTTTAATTGAGATGTTGTGGAAAGCAGCAGGATTAACAGTGAGGGCTTAAACTATGAATTCATAAGAACCTGTGATAAAATCAGAAAATAGCTTCTTAGATTGGAGATTACAGTAATTGCATCTATCTGGCCAACAAACTTGTTGGATGCAGCACAAAGATAAAGTAAATTATCAGGTCATCCACGGTAAAGCTGTCAGCCGGGTAAAGTAAAACACCTACCAGCTACTCGTGCCGTTAAAAAGAAATGTGACATCATATGTAGCGGGCTGTGTGTGTGTGTGTCTGTGTGTGTGTGTGTGTGTGTGTGCACGTGCTGCGAATGCGGTGTGCAAGTTAGTTGGCAGAGGGTTTGCAGAACCCCCTGCACGCAGCAGCTTTGTAAACATGAAATAACCCGAGAGTGCTGCTCGCTGTATCTAAGCTACAGCACAAAAACACATTTAACATCTGTCGAACAGTAGATATTTCCCTTCCACTTAGGCAGAAAGACAAACAGACGGGACAGAGTGATGGTTTGAGACAGAGACGTTAAGTAAGGGAGAGAAAAACTTTAGCCTGGCTATTAGCACCATCAAACACTCCATCTCTGATAACTATACAGCTGAAAAAGAAAATCAAAAGGAATGTAAAAGCGACACAAAGAGAGGAAAAACGGAGGAAGTAAGCCGGTGTTAAACATCCCTCAGGTCCCTCTGGTTGTGTATACCTGTGAGAATTGTGTGTGTGTGTGTATGTGTGTGTGTGTGTGGGGGGCTTTGGGGTATGTTTGTGTCTGTCTATGTCTACACTGACCTTGAGTTTCCAGCCCCAAGTAATACCTCTCATTGTCACCCTCATTGCAATTGTCTCCCTTTGTCTTGTCTCCATCTCCTTCCCTGTGTCAGAGCCTTCAGGGAGCAACTGAAAACTTGTTACAATAATATATGTTTTACTTCATCTTGTCCGTGGCTGTAAAGATTGTTTCTCAGGGCTGCTGTTAGCTTAGCAATACAGTTAAGGTCAATTTTTTTTTTTTTTTTTTTTGGTCCTCACAGAGGTAGAACAGCTGATGTGTGCGTGTCCCTGTGTGTGAGAGACTGTTTGTGATGATACCTTGAGAGAAACAGACAACCTGCCATGCTTTATGATTGTGTTTGGGTTATCTGCAGCGCCCAAGGCACATACACACACAGACACACGCAAACGCACACACACGCGCACACACGCGCACACACACACACATTACAAACATATAACGTCATCCTCTATGTGGGAGAATCTCAGGTCAAAATGTGTCACATGCTAAAAACTGGTATATTCTGGGAAAGAGAGGTCATCATTCAAGTGCGCACACACTCACATTCACATGCCGTCTTTTAACTGCAGCCAGACAGCAAACAGACGTCTACAACCCTGACAACATATACTTAGTCAATTCATTACAAACACTCCTTTGTGCCAAGAACACTCCCATGAGTTCTTCAATGTTGTAAGAATAGATCTTTTTCGATAAACTGTGTTTTATGAACAATAAAAGGAGTTGAACCACTATCAGGTTGACATGAGACTAAAACAGAACAGTGCACAAGAAAGACAGAAAGATATGTTCACATCACATCTATAAGAGAGGAGTATTGAATAGAATGGCTACCGCTGCTGGCAGCTGGAGTCTGACAAAACAGCTTGGCCGTTTGCCTAATGTATGCTGGTTAATAATCTGGTACAATGTTATGACACCATTGTCCAGTGATCCTCTTTAGCTGTAGATTCATGGCCACTTCTGTCACAGAGCTTTTAGGAAAATGACAAACTATGTGCGAATTCTCACTCAGCACTGGCACGGCGCAACCGCTGGAAGTGAGATTAAAGCAAACATCAAGTCCCGGATCATCGGTCAATTTACCGTTAAAGTGGTGAGAATACAGATACCAAAATAAAACTTTACTTGTGCACGGCGCAACGCAAACGTCTGGACAATAGGTGGCTTGCGTAATTCTAAAAGTTAGAAAGTTTAACTTGCAGAAACTCACAGTATCTTACATCAGAAGCACATAACTTTTGTGTAGAATACGTATAAAACAATAATAGAATATTATATAGAGTTCAAATTAAAACACCTTTGAATAATCCCCTGCTACAACAGGACAGTAATTGGATATGAAAAACTGTTTGCTGTGCAGCGGATGAATATTCATAGTTGCTCATGAAAGACAGTTCAAAGTAAATGCAAAAACCTCCACTATCCTCCTGAGCTCACTGCAGTCGCATCTCTGGTGTTTATCAGTCACTAGCTGCTAATTAAGTGGTTAAAAAGTAAAACTATCAGGGCTCTGGCTCACAAGCCAAAGAGCAAATAATCTCAGATAAATAAAGCGAGTTTTCATGTGCTCATCATCAATCAGGGAAGGCAGAGCACTGGGCCATTCTCCAAAAAAAAAACAAAAATAAAACTTTACTGCAAAACATGGACTTACTTGGAACTCTGTTGATGGCTCGCAGTGGCCTGAGCACTCGGACGGTACGGATGGCTGACAGACTGGCGTTATGGCCATCCAGAGAATACTCCATCACCCTGAAGACACCGTTTCAGTCAGAGAGAGGCAGGGAGAGAGAGAGCTTTAATCTATGTTCTGTGATTTATATCGACAAAACAGTACACACACACACACACACACACACACAAACACACAGATATGTACACAAAGGACCAACAACAATAAAACTGAGGACAACAAATATACAATCATGCTTCTAATGGCACCAACCCTCAGCGTTGGCAGCGTTTACTCCATCAGTCTCTGAATTGTTGGTTACTGATTGCTGTATTTCGAGGCTGCTCAGGTAAATGTTGTGTTGTATATCTCATCTCAGAGGGAGTAGGGGTTAACTGATTTTTTTCCTTCTGTCCTGTCCTAACCCAAACCCTTTTTTGTAGCTTTTCCAACTAAAGGCTTCTGTTTGTTTTTTCATCATGGAGGTAAAAGCTGTGCGAAAGACGCCGTTAAATACACAATTTACAATAAACGGTTCCACTGCAGTATTGTAGTCTGATGAGGCTTGATGTGGCTACGTGCAGGGGACATTACTTTGCCTTGCGTTGCTCGCTTAATTCCCAAGATGGGGGTGAAACAGAAACAGAAAACACAGTACACCTATGTAAAGTTAATGACAGGATCTTGTGAGGACAAACACAAAAACAGATACAGGTGTGTGTGCTTTCATGCTTGTCTGATTGTTTACTCTAAACAGAGAAATGAAATGTTGTTTGATTCTACACAGACTGCTATTTCTTCTAGCTGCAAATGACAGAGAAAATTGAGCAATTTGCGGGAGTGAGCCCACAAACCATTGTGGGATAACTAACCCTGCCATGACAATGACGAAGTCAAGCTGGTTCCACTTGTCGCCAAGGTAACAATTGGGGCCAAAAATTCCCAGGGCCACCATCTTGATGACCATTTCCACAGCAAAGAAAGCGAAGATACAGTCGTCCAATACCTGGTTACACACGATAAACAAGCAAACACACAGTTTAAATTAATGTTTAACACTGACAACAATTAAAAAAAAAGGACATTGACTTCTTGTCAAGAGGGAAAAGGTCACATCCTTGTTAAGTTTGCTCATCAATACAGTCACATTTTGAAAGAAACTGAGGAAGTGCAGGATGTCTGAATGAGAGTTCTTGTCTCCATTAGTTTCTTTCATCCCAGCAGGGAATAGCTGTGGCTTAGCGCGGTTATGGCTGTGTCTCAATTAATTAGACATCCACCACAGCAAAAAGAACGTCTGTATTTGAATATAATGAGCACATCTCAGTGTGCCAAGCATCAACATTACTCAACAGTAAGAGCATACTGAAACAAATGAGACAAGTGAGACAAGAAAAAGAAAATCAATTAAGTTCATTAACATTTATTTACCAATTGCTTTTCCAGATGCCTCACATCCACCTAAAACTGAATGTGAAAGCAACCCATGGTATAAAGGAAACAATTTACTTACAATCAATTACCATATGATATTTGTGTACAAACTTGGCATGGCCAGGACACTTATGGCTGCACACTTACTCGGACACTTTCTAGAATATGGGAATTCGCCTTCAGGAACAGGGTTAATTGCAGTATGGAGCGTGTGGAGACACCCTGGCGAAGTGTTCAGGCCCCCCTGTTACACAGGTGAGAGCGTCACACTAACCTGTAGGATGCGGCACCACTCTGACTGGCAGGTGACGTCCTCACAGGGCTGGAACATCCCCAGCGTCACACAGTTGAGCAGGATCACCAGCATGGACACGTGCTCGAACCACGTGCAGGAGAAGGTTAAGGCCAAAACACATGGGATGTAATTTGAAATCGTCAACGATACAGCGATACATTAGTTACTTAACACAAGGGAAGAAAAAGCAAATAAGAAAAGCTTAACGTACACTGCATAGCTCTGCTTTAAACTATCTTAAGACGAGGACAGCATGTTTTTCTTCTCTAACACCACCTGTCCAGTGAGAAGCACAGGTGCATCCAGGGCAGGCATGACCAGGTGCAAGCCACGTGCAGGGGCAGCACGGTCCAAACGGGCCTGTCGACGTGTTGCAGGCTGAGACGAACAACGATGCTTGCAGAGGGGGAATTGGCCGCGTCGGTCCGAGAGCTGACGCAGGGAATGCTTTCTTTCCTGTGATGCTGATCCTCACTTTAGCGTTGTGTCAGTGTTATCCAGCTAAACGAGCTAAAGACTGCTCAGAGGGAGAAAAACATGAGCTCATGTACACCACAGACCAAAGAAAGACAAAAAAAAAAAGGTGTTTCTATACAACTAAGCTTACGTTTCCTGCAAAACTTATTTGCTGTGGCAGTTTAGTTGCATGTAAGCAGCGCTGGATTTGACATGATATGTTATAAAAACAAAACTAAGATCCACGATAAGAGCATGTGAGTAAACAAATGCCCCACCAACACACTGGAAGCGGATGTCAATAGGAGGTTTTGTGCGAGGCCTAATGCATCTAATGGGTCTAATAATGATCTAGTGGGCCTGGCTGCTAATCTGATTACAGGCCGTTTCACGATTTCACAAGTAAACATTTTAATGGATCCATGTCTATTGTATATCCTGTTGTAGTGCTCACTAATACTGATCAATGACAGAAGTAAATCCTTAAAAAAAAAAGTTTGAGTTGGGAGTAATCTTTTATCCTTGAACTTGTTTTGTCTGTTCTTTTATCCGTCTTTGGACCACCAGTGAGATTATCTTTTTTTTTTCATTTCTTTCCTTTATTTCAGTTTCTTTTCTGCTCTGATCATCTATCCCTTGGATGGAGCGTTAACAGTGTGGCCTCATTGGTGCCTCGCTGCATTGGACAGATATTTGATTGAGTGAGTGTTTGTCTGTATTGGAAATCTTTTAAGTGCAGCAACATGAATGTCCCCCTTAAAACTGCATCCTCATTTCCACGGACTAAATGAAAGAGATGAGAAATCTGAAAAGCCACCGTCAGAAAAAATCCCAGCATTCCCCTCACTGATGAGACGCTGTGCACAGCACAATAAACGGATACTCATCATGAGAACAAACATGCGGCCGCACTCTTACTGATAACAAATTCATAAATCCATCACTGACGACATGTTGCAGCATAATGCAAAACAATAAATCAAACCACGCTAGAGAAACACAAGTGAAGCAATAAAATGTATGTGGACGGCGCATCACAGGGCTTCTGCAGCTGAAGTCACTTCAGGAGAACGTCCCATCGTCATAATGAGAAAAAATAATAAACATCAAGTAAATCAGTGAGTACATAGAGAGGATGAGGGAGAGAGTGAGAGAGGCAAAATAGATTGGATGAAAGAAAATGACGAGGAGAACAAGAGCCCTAAATCACGTCTCCTCAACTAGAAAAAAAAAAAAAGGCACTGATGCTGCTGTTTTCTACTTTGGCTTTTGTCCCAGACACACATGACTGCACGCACACACACTCACACACTCACACACACACACACACACACACACACACACACACACACACACACACACACACACACACACACACATAGTATCACAGCAGTGATCTGGTGTGCACTCTGAGTTGTGATATTGACGTATTCCCAGGGCGAGGTACTGTTCTAATTAGAAAGAGAGTTAAAGCAGAAAACAAAAAAACCCCCAAAAAAAGCGGTGACCACTGTCACCTACATTATTCACACCACAGAGATATACACACATACTCACTAAAACACACACGCACATGCAGGCATACATTTATTATCTGCATATTATATTAAGTGACATTCACACACACACACACACACACACACACACACACACACACACACACACACACACACACACACACACACACACACAATTGGGACTTACTGCTGTGAACAGGAGTTTGTATCAGCGAAAAAGTCCGACCTAGAACTTTGTTTCCTCCAGTGGCTGTTAGAGTGAGAAGTGTCCTGCTGCAGCCACGGCTAACAGTCTCTCCACCATGAATTTTTCTTCTTTTTGAAATTATAATTTTTTAATAACCCTTTTCACAAATGGAAGACCATCGCAAATTTTAGGAGCATCTGCCCTTACGACAATTTCTGAAGAGAAGTCACAACATACTGTGTGTACACTAACGAACCCTCTGAGGAAAACTTGCCTCCATTATGATCAGAGTTAACGGACACAAAACATATGTGCGATTTCACACAGGCACAAAATGAAAATGCAGTTCAACATGTCTACAGTTACCATAATATCCAAACGCACTGAAGATACATACAGTGTTTTTCAGGGTGATGAGCACGTGCAGTTACCAAGAAGGCAGATGCAGCAAGAAGAGGTAATGGGTATGAATGTACACACCTTCTGGGAAAACAGTAGATTTTCAAAAACGTATGGATCATATAAACTATTGACAAGTGAACACCAAATGTTTTGTGTCTCTGCTAATTTTAAGACATTTTCAGGACAAACAGCAAAAACCCCTCCCAACTGAGTGATTTTAAAAACAAAAACGTACAAAAAAAAAAAAATTGCCTCTGCTCTGCTCCCAACACATCATCTGTGTGCCGGCCCATTTGCAAGTCAAACAGAGGATTTCCTGAGCTCTGGCTACCACTACTCACCTATGTCAGGCTGCTTCATTAACCAAACCTGACGAATGTGCAACGCACTCTGACAAAATGCCAAACGTCTTTATTCTCTCTACAGACAAAGTATTTCCTCTCCTCGCTGCGAGGGGAGTTAGAGATACGGATCTACTGAAATACAATAGAAATCTAGATCAATTAAAGCATAACTGTTAATAGTGTTGTTAACTTATAAGAAACTATGTCTATTCAGGGCTGCAACACTTATCTAAGCAGAAAACATCTATATCTACTACTTATCAACTTATCTCTTGTTTCTTCCTATCTGATGAGATGATATTGTTTGATATTGAGGGAACCTGGGCTTTTGTCTTTTATATTTCTGGAAAGAAACAAAATAAAGATCTCTGCCAGCGAACGAGGCTCCCACTGCTATGGTCTCCATCATGGTATGCAGCAGCTGGATGTTCAAGTTAACGGAAGTACTGCTACTGTGCGAGGTGGAAAAAATGTAAACCCCTTGCTGCTTATCCTCTGGAGACACATTTAACACAAAAAAAAAAAAAAGAAAAAGAGTGAGAGGGAGAAACAAACCAGGAGCATCTGAGTATGGAACATTTTAGAGGGTACAGTATGTAAAACAACAGGCAACGTGTGGCAGGCAGGCTGAGATATGAGTGGTGTGCTGAAGGGACAGTCCAGTTCAGAGGCCGTGTTCACACAGGGGACCTCTGAGCCATTAGAGCGGTTGCTTGTGTTTTATGTAGCCATGTCTACAAATGGGTTGGATATGTATTTGTCCGTTACATCAGTAAAACACTGTGTTAAGTTACAACGTGTTGTTTCTGAGTATTAATACAAAGACAAAAGCACAATTTCAATCACGAAAATGCCTCGGGCCAGTCTGTCGCTATACGTGCTTCAAACACACACACACACACACACACACACACACACACACTTAGACACTAAGTCAAGCAACGTAATGTCGATCCTTCCTTCACAGATGAAAGATTCAGTAATCTGCAGCAGAATTAAAATGAGAGATTTGAATATTCGCAGAATCTCTCTCTCTCTCTAGTTGCTCTGTGACTCCCTGTGCTCTGCCTTCTCTAATTCCTCTTTAATCTCCACAGTCAACACCTCCTGAGCCCCCTTCTGTCTTCAGCTCTCCCACACACACACCACACACACACACACACACACACACACACACACACACACACACACACACACACACCCACACACACACGTATGCATGCATAGACACAAGCATTGATGTGCAAGTCCGAAAAGTCAATCCAGGCTGTCACTGCAAAGCGGGCTCAGCGTACGCACTGATTTGCGGTAAACAGAAAACAACAACGATCCTGGTGTTTTTTCAAATTCTGTTTGGCTTTTGCCTCACAAACACACAAACACACAAAGACACACACACACACACACACACACACGAGCACAAATGGTAAAGTATGGTTATGTTTGCCCTATGCTGCCATAGGCAAGATCAAACATCGTGGACAATGGTTGGCTTTCCTCCCCTGGCAGTGAGAAATCCAGGCCTGGCACACACTGCTCCTGGTCTCACTTGTTAAGGTCGATTTATGCCTCTGCACTTTGAGCAAATCCAATTAGGTCTGTGTCGTGTCACACCGGATATAGGCTATTGTGGGTATTCATAAGTCTAGCACTGGGCGAGGTCAATATAACCATTTATCACCTATCCACATAGTAGGGCCCAATATTCACTAAAAATTCAACAGTGATTCAACAGTAATTTAAAAGAAAACCAACAAAGACAAGGTCAAAACAACATGTCGTCTTGGTTTTCTACCCAAAAAAATCACCAAATACAATTGGAACTGAACAGTATAATCAATATGGTGAGCTAATTTAGGTCAATTCTGACTGACTGAGTTTTAGTGTGTACTACCTTTTGACTGCTAACACTGGTGCTTCTTACTCTAAATTTCAGTGCCAGGAATTTTGGCACTATTATTCAAGCTTTAAACACAATGGGACAGTTGCCAAAACTACTTTTTTTTATTCACTTGGTTTATAGTTCTCACTAGTTCCTCCACTGTAACCACAGTGCTCTTTAGTTGGCACCATATTTAAAAGTATCAAAAGAGACGTCACACTCCATGTCAGATGGACAGACACACGTGCACACACACACTAAATGAAACTGTTTGAGAGAAAAGGAGAGACGAACTGCAGCGTA